TCTGTTGCAAAATAGTAATCAAGCTGCTGCTACTGTTCTAACCATAGGGTAATCAATCCTAAGTCAAAACCTTAACAACTTTTGGAACCGCAATCTCACAACAAATAGCAATCTCAAGACAACGTACAACAATATTAGGAAATCAGCATTTATTTCGTCAATATTGTGAATTTTTAATCTGCAACAAGGTGGAGGTACCAATGTTGCACTTCGTTGAGACTTGACACGTCTCCGGCACTCGCTGACACAACCAAGACATGAAAAGTTTTTGATCAGGTTAAACCTGCTACCCAAAAAGAGTCCAGATAAAACGTTGATCACGCATTTTTGATCAGGCTAAACCTGCTGCTCAATAAGTAGCTACCAAAAAGAGCCCAGATAAAACGTTGATCACGCTATTGCCGGGGAGAGAAAGTTGGTCTCAGCACGGCTGTCAGGATGACAAAGCAAAAACCTCGCCGATCACTGCATTTCATTACGCACAATACTATTTCTAATTCCATGCTACACGCACACATCATATCATCAGTTTAGAAACTGGCATCAGTTTTTGAGGATTACTGGTAACCTGCATTAATTGTGTCTACCCGTTATGCTACAGGTAGTCGGCCTTCTTTGGCCGAGCGTTTGACGGCGGTACCGCGCGACGATGTCGCGATTTTGATTGAGTCTACCGGTAATAGGTAGTCGACCTTCTTGGCCGAGAGGTGGCGGTGGAGAATGAGGTGGAGTTGGAGGTTGCGTTAGCGTTGGCGTTTGACGGCAGTACCGCACGGCGTATTGCCGCGTTTAGAATCGGCGGCACTATGAGTATTAGACTATACCGCATCACCGCAATGGGTGTGTTGATACCAACAACAGTCCAGTAGGAAACTGAAAAGTCATCACGTGCCTGAGCGGGCCTACTACCCAAGTAGACGGCGGGCTGCAGCTGACGATGGCGCTGCTGTAGGTCTTGGGGTTGCTGCTGCTGTGCAGGCCCTCGCCGTTGGTGGCCTCTTCGTCTGGTTGGGTGTCGTCAGCCGCGCATGCGGCTGCCCATCGGCGCTACCCAATCACCCTCGACAAAGTCGTTAACGCTAGCGTGTTGGATAAACCGGGTAGGCCGAAGCTTGTAGGTTTGTGGAGAAAGGCAGCTCGGCCAGTGAGGGCCGAGATGGGAAAGTCTTGTATTAGAGGGAAGAGGGAAGGGCAGAGACCACTCCAGGTCGAGCAGCCGAAGAGTAGGGCGTCACCACACCTATCCGTCACGAAATTCAGATCACTCATCGAATCTCCGAAGAAACCAAGCAGAAACTCCCTGTTCCTCCGCGATCTACCAACTGCAATCTCCGTAGATCCATGTCCCATACTCAACCACATTACTATGCTAAGAGTATATCTAACAGGGGTGTTAAAGCGGCGGAATTTGGGGCCAAAAAAACGTCCGGTCCATTCGGCAAAATTTGAGGGGGGCACGCGGATTTGCTTCTGTTTTTGGTTCTTGAGAATCCCGCTGTAAATACTGAATAAACTATACATCAAGTCAATTTGTTTGTACAGGTATCTCTGCGTCCAGACAGCAGCATGGCTCTTCATGCGTTACACAAACCTGGACACAGGTCCAATAGAGGTGACTGTAGGATTGGATTCTCTTGAAGTTAAAGGGCGGGCGAACAACACCAAAAAAACATGGGTTTTTGGGCTCTTTGCTCCACGCCCAAGGCGACCTTTGCTCCTCTCGTGAAAGCGACCCTACAGCCCTCTACCTGGGGTTTACAGCTATACCACAGAACAAACCGCATCCGAATTGCATCAGCCAACCACGACATCTACATGTCTGAAAACTGTCCCTCCAGTGGGGCTGCAGCGCCTACACCAGCAGACCCTCCCAAAAAAAAAAAAACGAGGTCCGCGCCGTTCGGCAGCGGGAGGCGCGCTGCCCGAAAGCTGAATCAAAACAAAAAGAAGTTTGAAGAGAGGACGGGGCAGTGTATGGTTGCCGCGTCAGCAGAAGATAACACGCGGCGCGCTATCGAACGCGGCAGCCTCACCGTCGTAGAGAG